TTTCTAATTCCTCCCTGAGGAGGGCATCATCCCTGTATTATAAGCTAAACACAAATACAGATTAAAATTGTAAGAGTTTCACATTTGCATCCTATTATAGTAACTCAGAGATGTTCCAATATGAATCTATTAATTAACAGATCTAGTAACATACTTACAAAACTTCTACTGCTCACCTTGCCTGATTATAGAAATTTGCTATGAAAGTAAAGGGAGGAACATAGTTATAACACCATCAAGACTCTTCCCCTTGAGGATATAGACAGACCCCACGTAAACCATAACAAGGAGAAAACTGCCTTAACTCTGTTTGATTCCAGGCACTAGTCATATCTGACAGCCAATCATGTAGTAAGGCCAGGCTTATGATTAACTAGGTGGGGAAATTTCCCATTCAGAAAGGAAATAACACAATAGAGAAACTGAGTCAAGAGGATCCCATCTTAGGCCATGAAAAGGTTGTCCCCTTAACTTTACCTGAGGACAGACATCCACCTGTAGAAGTTCTCAGACTGCAGCACATGCCATTTTCTCTTATTGGCTTCATGATAATTCAGACAACCATCCTTGTAATCAAAACAATATTAGAGTTTTTACCAATAGCAAAATTTCACTAGTCACCTATTAGGGTTTGAATATTATTATTTCTGATGTTTTCCTAACAGTAACATGTCATTTATTCTTTTTGGTCAGTCATTTCAGTCGTGTCTGAATCTTCGTGACTCCATTTGGGGTTTTCTTGGCAAGAATACTGGAGTGATTTGCCATTTCCTTCTCCAGCTCATTTTACAGATGAAGAAACTGAGGCAAACAGGGTTAAGTGACTTGCCCAGGGTCACACAGCTAGGAAGTGTCTAAAGCCAGATTTGAACCCAGTAAGATAGTCTTCCTGAATCCAGGGCTGGCACATTTAACCCTTACTTATAAATTAAAACTAACTACATCTGGTAGTTTCAGACATATAGCAAAGATGTGATTGTTGACTCATATTAATGTATTAAAGTGACATCTTTAAAACACCCTATACATTTTCATAATTTTCATAAGTGAGAGCCAACATTTCTCAAATGAAAAATCACCCTTTTATATAGTAAACTTGTAAATCCTGCCCCACCCCACTATTGACAAGTGTTCAGAGAAAGGATCCTATTTTCTTAGTTCTGAGTTCTTAAACTTCAGTATTTTAGAATTTTACAACATGCAGTCAGTAGGCCCGATAAGATCTTATGAGCCTGCCTGAATATAATACCTTCACAAGCATCCTGAGTCCCACTAATTCACTAGAAGTTTTTGATGGAGACCTTGTCTCCTGGCTGTAAATCATAGAGGGAAAAGTCCAAAGGTCCAGCCTGGGCTGCTGCTGCTCCTAGGTCATGCCTAATTTGTAATTCCTGTATATAGGAAGCAACAGAGGTATTTCCTCCTAGTAATGATGCATATACTAGGGGAAAAGGTTTCTCTTGGATGGGGTGGGAGGAGCTGTCCAAAAGACATTTCAAAAGCAGATATATGTAATTTCCCCCTTGGGCCTGCTGCACAAATAGAACAATGCTAGGAGGAGAACATCAGGCCATTTTATATGAATCTCAATGCCCAACTTGCCAATTGTTATTTTAAACTCCTTATTCATTCTCTCAACTTGGCCTGAGATTGAGGATGGTAAGGTGTGTGGAATTATGGAGTCACTCCTAGAAAAGAGTAGATTTGGGATAGGATAGAATGGGTCTACTACAGGACTGAGTGCTTCTATCAGAGTCAGTTCAGGTCGGTGGGCCAAAGTGAGAGACAATCTCCTTCAGGAATATTTTAGCAACAAATCTACCTGTGGTCTTTACACACCAAATGAACCAGGTGAATGATAACAAGACATACCTTACACTGTCCAGCCTTGGGCATACAAATGAAATCAATTTGTAAATGCTCAAAGTGTGTATAAGCTGAGGGATGCCCACCATAGGCTTGGGTGTGGAAGACATGTTGGTTATAAGCCTGGCAAGTAGTCAAAAAGGCCCATATACGGGCAGCTATGTTGGTGAAACCTGGGGCAATCCAAATCTTCCTGATGGAATCCATAATTCCTTGAGTTCCAAAGTGTCCCTTCCTGTGAACAAATAGACATACCTCATGATAGAAACTCCAGGGAAGGAATGGTTTGTCCTCCAAAGACACCCGGACCCTTAAAACCTATTTTGCTTTATACAATTGTTTCCACTTTTCCACTTCAGAGTTATCATAGGAAAGAGAGAAGTTCTTATCACCAGAAGACAGCATGCTTGCTTGACAGAGACATTAGCATGGTCAGTCCCTCCTATGGGGACAGGGAACAGCAGCCAGGGCAGTGGGAAATTCCAGGGCAGACAAAACATGTTTGATGAATCCCACATCTGCAATGACCTTACCAGCAGATATTAAAAATTCCCTCTGTAGCTAGCACGGCAGACATCAAATGCATATGTTGAGTCTGTATAGATTAGGGCCCTTTTTCCTTTGGCCAGATGATACACCTGGTTACATAAGGGCCATGAGCTGAGCAGCCTGAGCCCTGAGATTAGAAGGCATATGAGCTGCCCTGAAGATATCATACTCAGAAACTATATCAGCACCAGTATGGTGGGGGCCATCTCTCGTTACAGATGACCCATCCATGTAGAAAATAAAGCCAGAGTTCTCCAGAGGAGTATCAGAAAGATCATTACAGGGCTTTTCAGTCTTGTCTGCTACAGAGGCATAGTTATGTAATGACTCTCCAGAGACTGGTCAATCAGGCAGCAATATGGCAGGGTGGCAGACTGCACAGCACTTGAGAGTGGTGTTTTCATTACTCAGCAAAGTCACTTCGTATTTCGTGAGTCTCTGATCTAAGAAGGCCTGAGTCTGCTGATAGAGTAAGAGTGACTCAACTTCATGATGGCATTGCTTTATCAAAGGGGAGCCCCAAACCAAATCACAAGCCTTCTCCACCAAAAGGGCAGTGGCAGCTATGGCTGAGCTATGGCTCAGCATCAAACTGAGCATAATAATAAGTTATTGGGCTCAGAGTGTGACCTAATGCTTGAGTTAGGACACCAGAAACTACCCCCCTACCCCTGCTCACATATAAAAAGAGTGAAGGACCTATTGGGAGTCCCAATACAGGTATAGATAACATGGCCTTTTTGAATTCCCAACAGAGTTAAGAGATGTTGATCTAGCTGCAAAGGTTTTTGGAGCACAGTTTTTAGAGCAACAAGAGTAATGTCACTGAACAAAATTATCCATTGTCTGTAGTATCCAGCTGCTCCAAAGATGGCCCTCAGCTGCCACTTAGTGGAGGGTACAGAGAGTTGTTGGATAGCCTGAATGCATTTAGGAGAAACGGAATGCGACCTAGCAGCCAGGATAAATCTCAAATCTTCCACCTGTGAGAGGTAGCATTGGACTTTAGATTTAGAGACTTTCTGGCCTCTTTGGTGAAGCTCCAGTAATAGGTGATGGTTATCTTCCTGGCAAATCTCAGCATCTAGCACAGCTAGTTGTCTAAGAAGAACCACATTGCTTACAATCATGACTATCAGTTTCTTGAAGAGAGAAGACGCTTGTAGCCTCCCTCTCTTCTTTGGGAAACTCAAGCTTAGTCAAGACGGGGGGGTGAGTAAGATGGAGGGACAGAAAGCAGAAGAGAGGGAGGAGGTGAAAAAAGAGCTACAGCTAGTGGAGAATGCTCAAGAATAAAGGAGAGGTAGCCAAAAAAGGTGCACTGGGGTAGAAAAGGATACAGGAATGGGAAAGAAACTGTCAAGGCAGGATAGAAAGATGGGGACAAGAGCAAAGGAGTAGAAGGGGACCAAGGAACTGAAGATGAAAGAATTAAGGCAGGGTGGAAAGTCAGGGGTGAGGACAAAGGAGTAAGAAAAGGTAAAGAAGTGGGAGAGGAAGAAGATAAAACAGGGTAGAGCTATGGGAAGGCCAGAGAAGGAGAGGACACCTCAGACGGTATTAGTCAGATGCCATCAGATGACTTAAATTTAGTTAAAGGATCAGTTAATTTGCTCCACAGATATCAGTATTCTAGCTAATTTGGATTTTTATCCGCTATGACTAACCTTAAATCTTTCAGCATATGATAGATAGGCAAAGCCACTGAATTGAGGCCAAAATAATTCATTGGCTGAATTTTCCCCACTGCAAACTAGATATCATAAAATCTAATTGCTTCTTTTTCAGTCATCTCTGGCTCAGTTGGGAGATATATTTTATCCCATGCTTCAAGGAGTTTTTCTAAGGGAGTTCCTTTGCAACTCTTAAGTCTATGCTCCTATGATCCCTTAATAACCATGGATTGCCCAGTTATCAGGCTTCTCACCATCTGGACCAGAACCTCTGGAACCAGGCCTCTCACCACCAAAACCTTGTCCAAGAGCATGGCCACAAACACCAGTCCAAACACATCTCACACATGTAGGCATCAAGCATCCCATTGCTATATTGGAATAAGGCAAAGAACCTAATGTCAAATGTGAATTAAAACAAGGCCCTGGGATACTGATTACCAAGTATTTACTATCCCAGTTTCCCAATTCAATTACTTCCTCCTCCCCTGTATTTGGAGGAGGAAAACAATCTGATTCCTCCCTTCATCATCATAGGATCTTTTGGATGGAAATTCCAATCAGATCATACTTTGCTATTACCAACAATCACCCTGTCTCAATCCCTAGGCTTCAGAATCACAAACTACTTAAGCAAAACCTCTCTTATCCTGCTGACAGTCCCTGCTCCTTCATCCCCATCTACCTTAGCCTTACCTTCCCTGCTCTGCCCTCCCTTCTATTGTGCTCTTTAAAACCCCTGTTCTGTTGTTTAAAAAAACTTCCTTTCATCTTAAACCTCTTTGTTTCGTACCCATTCCATCTTTCTGCATTCAAAGAAACCTAGCTTTCCCAAGAATACCCTACATCCCTGGCTTCCCTCTGCACTACTGAGCATTCCTCCTAAGGCTTTCTGGCATATACTCTTCCCAGGAGGAAGAGATGACATAGTCCTCGTTCTGAGCTGCCACTTTCTGACCCTTCCTCTTCCACAATTACTCAGCAACTTCATCTCCTATGAAATTCCCTCCATCCAGGTAAATGGCCCTTTCCAGATGCTAGTTGTTATCTACCAGCTTCCAAGTCATTTCCCTTTTTTCTCAAACAGTTCAGCACCTGGCTAACAGTTTTCTTCTCCAGGTCACAAAACTTCATACTTGGAGATTTCAACACATATCCTGCTATCCCTTAAACACCCTCTCATTTTATTCATTTTGTCCAACTCCTAGCACTCTTTTTTTGGCCACACACAGTATTGTATGTGGTTTTACCATCACCCATAGCTAGTCTTCCTCCATTATGAATAATCTAACTTTCTTCTCCCTTGCTACAACCACATATCCTTTCTTCTCTTTTCTACCTGGCGCCTTCAAAATCCTCACTGCAGCATCCATTCACATCACCTCTTCCTTTTTTCCTATGCTATCAGCCCTACTCTACCTTCCATTTCCTCCCTTCACAATCTTAACACTATGGCTAACTCCATTTCTTGACAAAGAGGTGATGGACTGAAGATGAAGAACAAGACATATGTTTTTGGACATAGCCAATAAGGGAATTTAATTTGCTTGACTATTTGTATTTGTTACAAGGGCTATGTTGTTGTTGTTTTTTTTCCTTTTTTTCTGAAAGGAGCAGGTAGAAAGATGGATTGGAGGGATATGAATAGTTTAGAAAAAAAAGTCATTGAGTTATCCTTTTCTTCTTTTTAAAAGAAGAGAATAGAAGGGAGGCCAGAAAGAAGCAGAATAACTTTGACAAGCCACAGGCTAAACATATACTTAAAAAGAAAAGCAAGTTATACATAAGATAGATCTTCAGTTTCATGTATGATTCTATTTTTCTGTTCCACTATGTATATGGAAATGTTCATTTCATTTGGTATTTGCTAAGTTCAGGATAAAATTTTTTAAATGCTATAGTTAAACTCATTTCAACTCTATTACTATACTCTGCTCTCAATTCCTTTGGCCTGATGAATGTTAAAATTTGTCTTTACATGTAATTAGGAAAAAAAATATTATTTAAAAAAAAAATAGGAACCAGATTGTGGAGGGCTTTAAATGACAGACTGAGGATTTTGTATTTTATCCTAGAGACAATAGGGAGCCACTGAATATTTTTCAGTAGGATAGTAGCATGCTTAAATTCATGTTTCAGGAATATCAACTTGGCAACTGTGTGAAAGACAGATTGGAGAGGGTGTAGAATGGAAGAAAGGAAAACATTTAGGCTATTCCAAAAATACAGGAATGAGGTGATTAGTGCCTAAACCAGGACAAAAAAGTGGTGGAAGTAGAGAAAAGGGGATGATAGAAGATAAGTTGTGGAGGTAGAATCAACACAATTTGGTAAATGTGGTAAGCTGGTGGTTGAGGAAAAAAAGAAAACTTAATTACAGCTATTGAAATGAATTTGTTGCAGACTTTGAGCACAATTTCAAAAGAAAAGTTCCAAAAATGTCTTTCAGTGGAAGCCCTTTCAGTAAGCAAAAAGTCTCTCAAGGCAGCTATTTTAAAAGAGACAACATTAATTTGGAAACGTAATTTCTGGAATGTTAAAAATAAATTATAATCTTACCTCCTACATGAAATGACCAGAGAGAAATTGCAAGGCAAAATATAAATAGGTGTCTCATAGTGTTGTGTGTATGTATGTGTGTGTGTGTGTGTGAAGGGAAATTCAAAATTAGAAAAAGATCAAAGCAGTTGGGAGTATTTTGGAAGACTTTATGGAAAATGCAAATCTTAACTTGAACCTTTTAGAAAGTTTAGGGTTTGGATTGATAAAGGAGGGGGAAAGGAATTTAAGTCAGGAAAAAAACATCTTGAATTGAAGTGCTGAGGTAGAAATAAGCACATCATTTGTAGGGGCCAACAAGGAGTAGTCTGACTTGAGAGAACTGGCCATGTTATGGAACAGTAAAAGACGAAATTGACGGATAAATAAGACCAATGATTGTAAAACCTCAAAAGCCAACTGAGGAGTATAAATGTAATCTGATTAATCATACAGAGCTACTCTAGATTTTTAAGAAACAGTTTTAAGAAGATTAATCTGACAATAAATATTACTGACGTTAAAGGAAACATATCCAAGGACCTAATAATATTTGTGCATACATAATTAAAAGTAGTTACATAACAATTAGGGTTTTTATTTATTATTTACTTAAACATGTTTAATTTTTTTCAGTCACGTGGAAGACAGAGACCTACAGGTAAAATTAATTTTTTAATTCTGTATATCTTTTGAAGATATTTCTTACTTCTTACCTTTCTAATGCTCTAGAACAGTAATTTACAACTTTGATGTTTCCTTAATATTGGGAAGAGGGTGCAAAAGCAGTGAAACAAAAATGAGATATCATAACTCAGAAAAAAATAGCGATTACTGCTTAAAATATTTTTGATTATATAGTCAAAATATTTTCTGTTACTTTCAACAGTAATTTAATAAAATACCAGGCAATAGGACTTGGAATTCTGATTTATTTTTTCTTTAGCAATGTTGGGGTATTTAACAATGAGGGTCCTTTCCATGTCCTCTAAAATATCCCTCATATGGCTAACTCATAGGCTTCCAAGAGAAGAAGCAAAGAGAACCACAAAGTGGGTTGGGGTGTGAGGGTGTGGAGAAACAAGGTGCTAGTGAAGGAGATAGTGGGTGATGAGATCTATTTCAGTCCATGGTGTGAATCTAAAATCATAGAAATTTAACTACCATGATTAGAGTCCACTAGATCAATTTGAGCAATGCTTTTAGGAGTCCATGAAATAAATACAAATGTCTTGGATCTTTTTAACATTCATATTTTCTTTATTATTATTAATAATCATCAACAAACATTAACATTTCAGGATATAAGGGATAAAAAAGGATTATATATGAAATCATGTACTTGTGTTATGTGATTATTTTTTAAAACATATGTTAAATTTAATAAGATTGCTCTGTTTGGGTCCCTTTCCGAACTTCTTTTTGGTTTTTTTGTCTGTTTTTCCTGTTTCACATCCATTCCACCCTTCCTTTCTCCTGCATGACACTAATAATGCCCCAGACCAGCTTAAATGTAATGATCACTCCCCTTTGCTCTCTGGAATTCCTTCAGATGATTCAGATACCTGACTTTTATGCTAAGTATTCATCTCTGCTCCTGAATCTAAACTATTTAGTCTCAGATCACAACCTTATTATTTTAAAATACACTTTCCACAAATCTCTACCTACTAGACAACATTTAATTAAAAGTAATAGAAACCATCCATTAAAAACAATTGTCCTTGCCCCAAAGAAGGATATACTCACTGCTTTGGGGATCATATATGAAGTTACAAATTCAATAAACCTTCACAAAAGGAGTCTCCATTTTCAGTAATATATTTGTGTGTGTTGTTAATTTTTTTCAAATGTTTTATTTTTTCCAATTACATGTAAAAGCACTTTTTAACATTTATTTTTTAAAATTTTGAATCTAAATTCTCTACCTTCCTCTCTCCCTCATTCCCCTCTCCCCTCAGTGAGAAAGCAAACAATTTGATGTAAAACACATTTCCATTATTAGTCATGTTGTGAAAGAAAACACAGAGCAAAACAAAAACTCCAAGAAAAATAAAGTTTTAAAAAGTATGCTTCAGTCTGCATTCAGATTCCATCAATTCTTTCTCTAGAGATGGATAGCATTTTTCATCATAAGTTCTTTGGAATTGTCTTGATTCATTGTATTGCTGAGAATAGCTAAATCCTTCACAGATGATCATCATACAGTATTGCTGTTACTGTACAAAATCTTGTTTCTACTCCTTTCATTTTGCATCAGTTCATGAAAGTCTTTCCAGGTTTTTCTGAAACCACCTGCTCATCATTTCTTCTTTTTTTCTGCTCTTCATTTCTTATAGCACAATAGTATTCCATTACTTTCATATACCACAACTTGTTCAGCCATTCCCCAATTGATGGGCATCCCTCAATTTTCAATTCTTTACCACCACAAAAACTGCCGCTAGAAATATTTTTGCACATATAGGTCCTTTTCCTTTTTTTTAAAATTTCTTTGGGATATAAACCAAGTAGTAGTGTTACTGGATCAAAGGTCATAGTTTTATAGCCCTTTAAGCACAGTTCCAACTTGCTCTCTAGAATGATTAGATCAGTTCACAAGTGTACCAACAGTGCATTAATGTCCCAATTTTTCCACATCCCCTCCAACATTTGTCATTTTACTTTTCTGTCATATTAGCCAGTCTGATAGGTGTGAGGTCAAAGTTGTTTTAATCTATTGCACTAATCCACCACTATTTCTTAGTCAGTACCAGATTGTTTTGATGATTACTGCTTTGTAATAAAGTTTGAGATGGGTATAGTTAGGCCACCTTCCTTCACTCCAGTCATAAGAGCACTTTCTAGACATATTCTGTTACAAAAGAATCTACAAATACATACACTTACTGCAGGTAATTAACCTTATGTGTTCCACCTTTTCCCACTGCTTTTAAACTGACAAAATATTTTATTTTGCACATTTCTATCCCGTATGTTATTGTTTTCCAATGAAGCATTCAGAGGACATTTTCTTCAGGCAATTAAATCTTACTTTGTTGCTTCCATGTGGCATGGGAGTGATATTGGTTTCTTAAAGTCCATACCAGAGGAGCACAGGTTCTGACATGTTCTACTAGAATAGAAGGTTGTTTTTTATTATAATTCTTGCAACAGGGAGCAAAGCCAGAGCTGTGGATCTATGAATAGGTGGATACACAAGAATACTGAAGGGCTAGGGCTGTCCTGTACACTGGGGCCTTCCCGGAAATTGGGCCTAAACCTATCTTGACCACAGGTCAAGCCAGTCAGGGCAGCAGAAGGAAATGAGGCTTGAAGCTGTGGACTCATTTCTAAGTGACTGTGTGAAAAGATGGCAACAAGGCCAAAGCAACCATATGTATTGGACTTCCAAGATTGAGGTAGAAATCAGTCACTGTGGAAGAGAGTGGGGGGCATAGTCCTGGAACCCAGATCCATATCCAGCTCACTGTCCCAA